TTTCTCTGTTTTCTTTACAAGTAAAACAAAAAAACGTTTTACAACACACATATGCACGAGTACGCGCACACACTCATCTACGCAAGAGTTAATGCTTTGAATGAAAAAAGAAGAAATTCTCTCTACCCCGACGGTACTTCAAATATTTATCAATGCGTCGTATATATTTCTATCTGATTACCATGACACAATGGAAAATTTTCTTACTACCTGCTTCTCATGGACTACGTCAAGAAATTTTTATGCCAAGTCCAAAATTCTGAACGATTAAAGGGCCGGTTTCACCATCTCTAATCAACGCAATGTCTATAGTAGAATCTGCGTTTTATAAAACACATGATATACATGATGCACATGATATATCATTTTATTCTTGTTGTTCACCGAATATTAAACGGTTCTGTTCGCGTTACTTGCACTTTTTGCACTCAGCATCTATGCATTCTCTCTTTTCAACATCCGAGGCTACGTTCCAAAACTTCCTCTCCGAGGAAGATTTTACTCTGTATGCTATAATATACGTTACGTGTACTATATATTTCGAGTAAAATTTTCCTCAGAAAAAATTTTGGAATGTAGCCCGAATATATATTTATCTTATTTAAAGTGTAAAAATTTTTGGAGATTCAAGCAATTTCAAGCAACGCGTACAGACCTAAAGCCGGCGGCACACGATACTTGTTTTTCTTGCTGGATTGCTAGTTAGATTGGATGCTTTCCATTTGATGACACAAATCGACATAAATGTCGTTTTATCTTTGTTCATTCTCTGAGTGGCCAAGTTTCCACCAAGAGTTTAAACCGGATCATAATGTAAGAACCAACCAACTACAAGGGAGGATCCCATTTACCTACAATCCCGATTGCACACACCACACATATCAGTTGCCTAGTAATTTTTTACTGCTTTGCCAATGAGAATATTTTATTTTTAAATTAGCCAATTAGCGACGCATGTGTGCAATCGGAGCCCAATTATATTTCCTGTCGTTCGACTGTAACAGAGGAATACTCGACTGTAGTTGATTGGTTCTTACATTCTGATCTGGTTTAAACCCTCGGTGGAAACTAGGCCAATGTCAACAAGGATAAAACGACGCTTGTGTCGACTTGTGTTATTAAATGGAAAGGCGAATTCTATTGGCGAATTCGACACACATGTACGATGTACACCTTTGCTCACTTTTGTAAACAAGATACACAATCGATCCCCTAAATTAGACATAAAGGTTACTTTACGATTCGTCGATTAGCTTAATAAGCTGATTAGTCCATTACAATTGGCCAATCGCATTTATCATTTTATTTTACATAAATGCAATTGGCTAATTTCAATGAACTAATCGGTCAATTAAGCTAATCGATGAATCGTAAAATGACCGTAATTGGCTAATTTAAAATAATATAATCTCATTGGTGAACCAGTAAAAAATTACTAGGAATAGATCGATGTGAGTGGTGTGCAATTAAATTGTGTGTAAGTGCACCGTTTTCTCTTGAAATAAGGTGAAAATTACAAAAGTGAGCAGATTCACTCAAATATTTATAATTTAATTGGTCAAAGTTCGAAATAATTTAAATAAATTTAAACGCCTTGTGCGGCTTAATTGTACAAAAGTATCTTAACATAATAGAATGATTGAAATAAAAATGGCATTTTATCAAATCCTTGAAATTTGTTCGCGTTATCAAAAAAAAGAAATTATTTTGATAAGAGACGTTATTTGTAAAGATATTCGGATTGGACTTTTAAAAATCAAATTTCAATTTTTCAAAAAAATTTAAGTGCTTATTAAGATTTTATTCAGTTTCAATTTCAAATTGTATACCGAACAATTAATTATATTCATGTATAGTCACTCAAAAAAGTTTATACTCGTGGCATTGTTACAAACAAACAATAAATAGGATAAATTACGCGCGATGGAGTAATATATATCTTGCGGTCCATTTATTAAAAATATGCAGTAACTTCACATCGTGTATTCCATTACTTTCAGTTACAGTAGAATATGACACAATAATATAATATAATATTATTCTCTATCTACGCAGGCTGTCCTCGAGACGCTTCTATAGCATATAACTTTCAAAATATATAATGTACGTTATCCTGTGTTCATCGTTTACAAAAGACTAGATTTATTCTCTTTAGACATTTCTCGGTATAATTTCGATTTTCTAACTAGAATCATGAACTTTCTTCCTAATTGTAAGATATTTTTTATTCTTTTGGTCGGTTATTCGTAGATGTGCCGCAAACTCTTGCGGAAATTTGCATCAGGAATTATTTACGATATATGGCACACCACGCCTTGGCGCGTCTCATACTCATATGGCTTACGTGGTACAGAGATTTTTATTAAGTGAAGAGAATCGTACTTGCAATGTAATATAAACACGAAACACAGTGTCAATCGCGATAATAAATTCACATAGAGTGCACAGGCTACACACTACATAGCGGTTTTACAATTTTTTTTTATTTGTATCGAGGATCATTCAAGACAAGATCGATTTCAAAATAAAAAAATCAGCAAGTGAGAAAGAGGAGAGACAGAGAGAGAGAGAGAGAGAAAATACGCGAAGCATACGAGTGTGTAATACCCAATATTCATAGTCCATTTTTATTACAACATCGACTTAATTAATGTCCTAAGACGTTAATACACGCGCTCTCTGATTGATTCGTAACATTTTCAGACTGTACTTAAGACAATCTTAAATATAAAAATCGACTATAAATACTGGCTTATATATATAGATATAATTTTAAAATTTCTTAAATGTAATTTCTCGCGAGAATCTCTTCGAAAATATAAACAAGGATCAGTACTACTATTGCGAATATTTGCTCCAAAATTTATACACAAAGATCCTTAATCGCATGAAACGTGTTGCATTGTATATCGAAGACGACAAACTAAATTATATGTATATAAATAACAAGCTTTTAACTACAGCGCAAACTTTTGCAACCTCGCTAATGTGAAATATCGAAAATTAATTTTATCTTTCGTATACATATATTATACATATTTAATGGGAGTGAGAATAATATTAGGCTCAATATGTACGGGATGTTGCAAAATTATATCAAGTTACACGTAAAACTGGTTCTACATTAGTTGCAAGCTGATCGCAAGTTTGCTGCGACAATATGAAGCATTGGTTTCAAAATGTAAGCTTCAGATTGGCTGTCACAACAAACTTGTGATCAGCTTGCAACTAATGTAGAATCGGCTTAAAAAACGAATTTATTATAATTGGCAAGATAATTGACAAACTTTTTGCCTCGAATCTAATATTTTCCATTCGTAATAGATGCTGTTTTTATAAATATCTTTTAAAATATTGTTTTAAATTTATCTTTGACCTCTTTCTATTCAAACACACTTTTAAAGACTATAACTGAAATTATAAAAATTTCTTCTAATCACAGAACACACAATTGCTTTTATCTTTTTGTTTTTGTATAATAATATATAATTATTAATTGGAAAACTTTAATGCACTTGAAAATATGTTTTATGTACTGAAAAGATAAAAAAAAACTAATACTTGTTGCATGTATCAATTTTTATAAAGAAAAAAACAATGTATAAAAAACGAAATATTAGCCGTTAAATATTTTGCATTTTGATACAAATATTCCGCGGACTTATTTTGTAATTTTCTGCGACAAGTTGATTTCCCTCTCCCTCTCTGTCTTTCTCTCACACGCACGCGATACAATTCTACTACAATAATTTATTAAATTCCGCATCGATCTTGCTTAAAAAATGACGGTAAAATCCGAATCACTCTTGTATTTGGATATATATAGTTAACAACTTAAAGATTGCAATACCTTTTTTCAAATTGTTTTCGGAATGACAGCTTATTCACAGAGTGATTGGTTCTTGCTTATGAATAAATAAAAACCAATCGCTCGGTGAGCAGGCTGTGTGTATTCTGAAATCCATCAAAAACAAAGTGTTGTAACCTTTTAGTTGCTAACTGTACATACAAAAGTGAATCAAGCACAATCGTACTTTCAAATCGAGCACGTTAATTTTCAAATTACTGTGTACAGACACCACACAATACAGAACACATTGTGCATCGTTGCAATTTTTTTGTGATTTATTTTAATATCAAAGAAAATCTAAACAGATAGAATATCTTTCGCACAAGTACCAAACAAATGGTTTAATATGATCTAATAGAGAAGAACTTCCTACATTTTTTTATAATGCATCGTACGCATCGCATAAATGCAATGTATTAACTAGACTCAAACGACGAACACGATCTTTCTCTTAGCTTAACAAGGGCACGGTTAATGCGAAACGTCCTGATGATTGTTACTTAAGCGTTATTTTCTCTTTGTAGAAGAGAGGAAGATAAAAAGAGATAGGTGTAGTATATATTAATAGTATATAGTATATAGAGTGTAAAAGTATTTCATTAGTAAAATATATATAACAAAGTTAGTACGTGTCAGCATTAATCAGTTAATGTTCGATTAAAGACATCAATAAACATCTTGTTAATCAATTATTAGAAATATTTTACCTCGGAGTGTCCGACAGAAATGTGCTACGTGATTCGTTATTGTTTGAAAAAAACAGATTGGACGCCTCGCAAGAATCTGATTCTGGCACGATGATCGATAATTATCTTCGATTATAATATGTGTACGTGTGCGCGCGCGCGCGTGTGTGTATGTGTATGTGTGTGTGTGTTGTGAGTGTGAGCCGATTACATCGGATTTGTCAAAATTTCGTAACTATTCTAAATCTGTATATGTATTTGTGTTATGTGTGTTTTCTCGCATTGACTACTCATCGGAAAAGAAAAGGGTTTCCACCTAAACCCTTAAAAAAATAGATTGATATCTATAATGATATTTCTTTCATTTCTGAGAGATTACAGAATTTTTATTTCAATTTAACGCTTCAAAAAATTTAACGATATCGTTTAAATATCTGTTTAACTAATTTATGACAGCTATTAGAGTCGGCAATGTATCTTACTGTTAGATAAAATTTCTGCTGGATGATACTAGAATTATCAAGTTTATTCAATCGCTAAATATTCCTTATTATTATTTATAATTATTTTACCTTTTCATCATCATCATCATCATCAGCATCTTTATCATCATCTCCATCATCATCATTATCATCAATTATTATTAATCTCTGAGAGGGGCTTTGACTTTTCTTTTTTGTACTGATCTACTGCATTAAGCATTTTGGGAAGACTGTTCGGTCTATAAATTTTATGTCTCTTGATTTTCCTTCTCAGTAACAGCAAATATATAAGTAAATATATAAGTAAATATAAGTTTATATTAATGGAGAAATATTATTTATATATATATATAAAATGTGTGTGTGTGTGTGTGTGTGTGTGTGTGTGTGTGTGTGTGTGTGTGTGTGTG